ATATATATATATATATATATACACATATATGCATATATATATATATTTGTATACGTCTTGCTAAAAGGAAGACGGTGGAGTTACAAAGCAGGCGAGTAAACTGTCTCGCTGCCATTCCGCACCGCTGATGCCTCCAGTGTGGACCTAGCATAAATCCCCAAATGATTTATCCAGGTGTGTTGGAGCAGAGAAACAGTGAATACAGGCTGAATGGTGGTTCGAAACTTGGACTGGACAACAGGGAATGAAATTGTCTTTCCACAATCACAACCACTGATGACATTTTACCCAATCAATGATATTTTTTTGTCAGATTCACCTCATTTCCCAAGATGAGCCTGCAAGATAAAGCATCTCTGACATCAAATAAATGCATCTGCTGTCAAAAATTACCGCTAACATGTAACAAAGTCATTTTGCTAACATATTATAAAATATATTGGTGGAAACTTTTTTTCACTGCTAGCGACATTATGAACTATATAAAAATGTCACTTGATGAGCATCTTTCTGCAGCAAAACAGGCCAGAAGAACACCTTTAGGCACGAACCACTGGCACGGCAGAGTGTGTTGCTGTAATGAAGACATGAAAAACATTTAGACAGCTTGCTTTACTGGCTGTCATCATTTCTGACTGTTCATAAATGATATTTTCTTTACTTGCAAGCTCACAGAAGAAAAAAAATCCTGTGCCTACTTTGGAAAGGTTACACCGAAAACCCACCGCGTCTTTTGTAACTTTGATTGTAAGTTTTGAAAGAAGCTGCCACAAAATCACTCAATATCTCAACAATCACAAATAGTTTGTAAAATCCTGATTGGAGCCAAAGCTGATTTTTTTTCAGCTGTGTGGTTTTGTTGTTTTTGAGGCAAAAGAAAGGTTCTAATTTTGTTCTTGTGATGTACACTGTTGGGTATTTTTATAATTGTACCTTTTTGAGGCCTAAAAGATGCCCAATTTGTGTTCTTAACACTTCATGAATCTCTGTGTTTGCCAACTGTGGCTGTTCATGAAAGGTTGAGCAGAGAAGCTTGTTTGCAGTCAATGATGTTGATTCCAACCAAACCTCTGTACCTCTGTAACCTGAGAAGGCCCCACCTTCTCCTCTATCCTTTGTGAATAAAGCCCCTGACAAACTGGGAGCACATGGGAGTGACGTGGGGACAGCCTCGGAGGAGGTTCCTCTGCATTAACTCTCCATTATTTTGGGGACTCAGGGTAAAATGTCATCCTTGTTGTCAAGAGTGTTTATTTCAGGTTCCAGGGTTATGGAGATTAAATATTTCCCACATTCAACTACCTAACATTTTGGTGGAGAATGCGGGCATGCAGAGCTGGTGAGCTGAAGGTTTTCCCCAGGAGCAGAGGGGGGCTGGTTAGCTCCATGGAGGGGGTTTCTGCGCCCAGCTCTCGCATGACGATTCATGGACATTACGAATAATCTACTCTCTCTATGTGTGTGTGTGTCGTCCTTTAAGGTAATATGGGATAAATCTAAAATTACCTATCATACACTTTTTCAATTCACTGACAAAGGAAGTTAACATGCTTGATATTAGATGTATTACGACAAAAATAATAGAACAAGTGCGTCAGCAACAGATACACAAGAACATGTGTGAATCACAGAAAGATGTGAAAAAGGAAAAGATCTTGTTTCAGAGTGTAAATATTTTATGATGAGGCATTCTGCTCCTATGAAACCAAACGTTCACACACACACACACGCATGTGGGTGTTGTTTTAGAAACACTCAACCTGTTGCAGTGGTTTGAAGTTTTGATTAAAACAAAGCAATTTGTCATTGTCAGACTAAAGGGAAAAAAGAGAGTAGGTGTTATGGAAATATCATTAAATCCCTGTAGTTTTGATGAATTATTGATTTGATATGAATCTAGGTGTTATTGTGCTGTGCCTTTCTTCAATCAATTAACGCTGTTGCTGGTCCCTATTGCAATAAAGTCTGTGTATTTACCAAGAAGGAGGGGTAGCTTAGATTCAGCTTTCAAAATATCTCTAAAACCCTTTTTTCATATTTATTGCTTTTTCTCAAAATGATTTATTAAACTTTTAATAAAAGACTGAAGGCTCTCCTTCCATCGTTGTACTGTCTCACGTGTCAAATTATACATATTGCAATAAAAGAGACCACTGTTATTACGGTTTCTTGGTCTCAGATGAAATATTTGTAGGAATGAACCTCACAGCGTTTCCCCATGAGGCTTGGCATTACAAGCTGCGTTTCAATTAGGTTAATCTCTCGATGTTTGAGTGGATCGTTCACATTTGTGTTCACTTCAAGCAAATGATGTCATTTGTTCTATTGAATCCATTTTAAAAAGAGACCAAAGCAGAGAGTGCCAAATTAAAATAGGCATAAAACCCTCTCGAGTGCAGTTTGTGAAACAATGTCAGCATGAAATGTTTGTTAGAATCATTTATGCGACAGAAAGGCATACAGAACTTAAAAAAACACCTGTGGTGTGTGCTCAGAAGCACCCTAACAGTCTGGAGCAGTGATTATCAGCTAGTCTGGGTTTGAGACCCACTATTGCCTCTTGATGGCAAGCTGTGACCCAGATTAAGGAAAATTTTCAACTTCTCAAATGTATTCAATGAAAAGCTGATTCTATGTAAACTTCTGGAGCACCTTGAGATCCTGCTTTTCATACAGTCTAACTGTTTTGTCTGTAGCTGAACAAGAGCTCAGAAGCTGCTCTCAGGTAGGTAGAGCTGAATAGTAAGAAAGGTTTTACTGCTCAAATGGCAACTGGAGGACACTTGCTCATTACTCCTATTGCACCAGAACTGGGAGAGGCTTAGCTCTGCAAATGTCTTTGTTCAGCGTGCGGTCACATGACATGATGTGTTTTGACATAGTTGATCAGTGAGCTCCATTTTAGGAACTGTCCCTCGCTACCGACATGTGTGTTCTACTTTGTGTGGTAAAATTGCAGGAAGCAATCAGCACTGCCCAACTGTATTGCCACCTGCTGTTGAGGAGTGGTAAAACACTGCACTCCAGTTTGTGGCTCAAAAAGGCCCCATTCAAAATATAATTGCATGGGAATCACTCGAGAATTAGTGGTCTAGAGGCTTTGACACTGATAACGTGGTGGCTTAAACCCTTAAAAATGAACCTAATAGACCATAATAAATTGTATAGTATAAATAACAGTGATGTGAAAAACATTTTGCCTTTACTTCACTATAAAAAAATACAAAATGTGTTTAAAATAAATTTTTCAAAATCTATCCAAACCAATCTTATCCTATGTGGAAAAGTTGTTGAACCCTTGTTGCAAAGCCTGAGGTTTTAATTTATTAAGGGAGTTCACAGAATTGTTTGAATTCATCAGTCAGAGGGGTTCAATAACCTCAAAAGTCAAACACCCCCTCTGTGAGGATTTTTGGTAGAGAGCAGAATTTGTGTTTTCATAAATTACAGTAAGTGGTCCAGGACCTGAAGCAGCCCCAGATCATCACACAACCACCACCATGTTTGACTGTTGTCCTTCCTCTAAAATGCAGTGTTAAGCCTCGTTTACACGTTTCCATCAGCAAGTTTGTGTTCACATGCACACGTACTGACAAATCACAGGCTTGGGGTCTCTGTCGCTTTTGGAGGACGGTTAAAAAAATTGATTCTTTTCTGTCCATCCTTGCGACAACGGATAATGGCGTCTCCATACCGACTAATAATTATAAACTAAGCTTTAGTTTTAATTCAGATGTGAAATTACTCAAATTCTACTTTAGTCTCATCAGTTCCCAGAATACTTCTTCTGATGTCTTGAGGGCTATCTAAATGTTTCCAGCAAAAGTGAGTTCAGCCTTTGTTTTGTTTGTTTTTCTGTCAGCAAAAGTTTTCATCTTTGAAACCGATTCCTTATTGTTGAATCAGTTGTTGAAGATGTCGTTGGTCTGCTATGTTCATGAGTTCCTTAAGAACAGGTCCGGGTGTGTTGCTTTCTGAGACTGTTCATCTCAGACAGGTTATCAGAGAGATGCTATTGAAGTGATTTTTAATTCTACACGTGAATCTGAACTTGGCTAGTGTGACCAAAGAGAACACGAGAAATCCTAAAGACTACAGAAAACTTTCCACCATACTGTTTCCAAGGAAGTGACATTAATATCGCACATCTTTCTATAAAGAAAGAGGAAAGCACAGCGCTAAACTTCTTGAAAGGTAACAACTGCTAGCTGATGGCTCTAGTGCGTGTGCGAGACATTCAGGTCAAAATCAGAACACAAGAAGCAGAGCACATCAACTCTGGATGATAACAAGTTCAAACGGGAGGATGTCAGGGGAAATAGGCTTCCTGATTGTGCTGCACTCAGCATATTGCAGATAGTAAGGTAAACACTGAGGTTTATAAGAAATCCTCCGTCACACAGAAACATATAGACTGGGGGTTATCAGAGCCCTAGGGCCCCAGGCTAAGAAAGTCCTAGCAGAGATGGAGACAGATGAAAACGCTCTTAGATATTAATCAAGCACTTAATATCTATGGACACTTCACATGTCAGCCAAGTAATAACACAACACCACCGGGGTTAAGACATGGCATCTGCAACTGATCTGGAAGCTTCTGCAGCTCTCCCAGCCCACGGAGTCCACACAGATTCACCATCCATCCCATCCTCTGGTAGTTGGGGATAATTAATGCTGTTGCCCCATAATCCCTTCTGTCCTGCTCCTGCTGCTTCCTCATGTTAAAAAGGTCAGATCCTTTCTATGCCACACTCTATACTTTATGTTTGCATAATGGTTCCTGACATGAGTCTAATTGGTTCACTGCTGTTTTCTAAACAGTCCAGTTGGTGGAATTATATAATATTGGGTATCTTTGGATAATTAGGGTGCTTTTCATCCACTGTAAGCCCAGATTTGGCTTTGACGTACAGAAGCTGCTTTTGTCCAGAAAGCCCCACTGACACATGAGTCTAACTACTGTCAAAAAGGTGGCGTGTACAGTAAAATATGTCACATACCTCTGGCATGTTTCTTTTTTTATAATAGGACCCAAAGGTCTTGTCTCTTGTCTGGCTCACACTACGGTATAAAAAAAACCTGTCAACCCTGGCTCAAGTGTTCCTGGTTATTTATAGAACTAAAATAAGAATCTGACTTAGAATTATTATGATCTACTAAATAAATAAGCATCATAGTTTTACAAAGCACTGGTGTCACTCACCCCATTGACTGGGTAGGTCTTCCAGTCCAGCTCTCCTAGTGCCGTCGTGGTGTCCAACAGAACCACTACAGAGGGGATGTTAGTGGGAGGTGAAGAAAAGGTCATGAAAAATGGAAGAGACAAGTTAGAGGAGCAGAAGAACAAAGGGAGTAAGAATGACAGGAGGGAACATAGAGGGGAAGAGTGAGTGAGAGAGGTTGGATTTAGAAAGCAGAGAAATGGAGGTGAAGAAAAGGGAAGAGAGAGTACACAATAGTTATCAACCTGTCAACGAGGAGCTTACATGGTGGGAAACCTCTCATCAGATTCAACCACCTATGAAATCACAGCTCTTAGAAAACGGCAGGACAGCGCTTATGCAGAACCACCCTCCGTCTGGATGAAGTATGGAAACTTAGTAATCTCCTTCTCAGAGGTCAGACATTTTCTTTAGCATCACATCAAAGAGATGAAAAAGTGGAAAAACCAAGAGAGAGTGAAGCACGCAAAAGGCACCAAAGATTCAAATTTTAAAAATCACTAATGAGCTTACATTCCCTCATGTCTGAATCTACCATCATCTTATACTGAATAAAGATGAAGTTAGAGGAGTTTTAGTCAAATCTTGAGAATAATGTTCTATGCAATAAAAGAATGTTGTGAAATCTTGTGTGACCTTCCAAACCAAGATGGCCCCATGGATGGAAGCCCTGCTGGTTTTGGTGTAGGACCACCATCACAAGTGAGAGACGGTCATCAGCACCCTGGTCAAAAAGGTCCAGCAGAGGATGTTCTTCCTGCGACAACGATCTTCCTGAAGGTTCAGTTCTACATGATTATCATGATTGTTGGTGATGATTACCCTGATTTGCTTGGCCTACTGCCAGGGATAAGCACAGACTGCAGCATGTTCTGCATTCTGCTGAGAAGGTGATCGGTTAAAGACTTCCATCACTCCATGATCTGTACGTCTCCAGGTCCCTGAATATTAGCCGACCTCCCCCACCCTTGGTCATGGACTGTTGGAACCACTCCTTTCAGGCAGGAGGTTACGGTCCATTCGGACTAGAAGTCATCCACCCATCCATCCATTCTCGTCCGCTTATCCGGGGTCGGGTTGCAAGGGCAGCAGCCTAAGCAGGCAGGCTCAGACTACCCTCTCCCCAGCCACTTGGGCCACCTCTTCTGTGGGAATCCCAAGGCGTTCCCTGGCCAGCCGAGAGACACAGTCCCTCCAGCGTGTCCTGGGTCTTTCATTGTGTCTTCTGTCAATTGGACATTCCCAGAAAACCTAACCAGAGAGGCGTCCAGGAGGCATCCTAACTTGATGCCCAAGCCACCTCAACTGGCTCCTCTCGATGTGAAGGAGCAGTGGATGTACTCCCGGATGACGGAGCTTCTCACCCTATCTCTAAGGGAGAGCCCAGCCACCATGCGAAGAAAACTAATTTCAGCCACTTGTATCCACAATCTCATTCTTGAGATTGTGGATACCCCCCCCCCCCCCCCCCCCCCCCCCCGTTGGCTCATTCTACTCGCAGATCGAAGGCGGTGAGGATAATTTCAGTGAGCCAATCCGTCTGTAGTGTCGCCTCAGTCCCAGTCTGACCGCTGGGGAGGAAGTCTGAAAACAAGTCGCCTCGGAACCGAAAACGCAAATCTGACCTGTGTGTGAAACCAAATTCTGGTCCTGGAAGGGACAGTAAGCGACCACACCGAAGCTAATGAGTAAGCACCATTTGTGACTTGGTTTTATGCTTTTATGCACCTTTTACATTTGGTATGTTGCTTTTATTTCCTTTGCATTGCTCTTCGTGCTTTTAGTGTATTTTATGTTCAGTGCCTTGGGCTCCCACAAAGGCAGTGGAAGGCGCTATATAAATAAAGAATGACTGACCAGTCACTTTATATTTCTTATTATTTTTATGTTATGATGTCACTTGATTCATTCTGAATGTATGCACCACTTCACCAAAGCAAATTCCAAGTTGACAATAAAAAAGATTGTGATTATTTATGAGTGAGTTGTGAATGATGCTACCCCAGAATCACATTTTAGCTCAGTCATAGCATGGTTAGTGTTTGCTATGGTCAGTTGAACTGGATTTACTCCAAAAGTCAGTTACTTGTGGATTTATATGCAACCGTTCATTTCTGAGTGTTTCAGTAAAATGATGGTTTAGGAGATACTTTCCCAAACAAACATATCAAGAGACAACAGGCTAAATATTATTTCCTAGCTATTAAAAAAATAAACACATTTAACCTGTTCTGGTTTTATAATTTATGCAGAATGGTGAATGTGAGCTCCACATTAGGAGTGTTAGATATTCTCCCATTTGCAGGTTACTGAGTTCATAGCATGACAGACTGCATCAAGCCAACAGAGTGGACAGGCAGAGAAGAGACAACTTACTTTTGCAGGGTGGGAGGGTGTAAAAATAGAGTTAGTGACGTGAATGTGTGTGTGGTGATAAGTGGCATCTTTCACACAGAAAACGGGGATTTGGTTTTCTCTCAAAAAGCCACTAAACAGCTGTAATTGAAACAATATCACAGCAGACATGCACATAATGTACAAAGGAATCAAGCAGCTAGAATAGTTGTGACATTTACAACTATCTATTAAGTCCTGAACTCGTAACACAACAACAAACACAAGTAGACGATGTAAACATTGCAGACCAGGATTTCCTGCCCCGAAACATGCGGCGTGCTCTTGAGGGTTATCAGCGGTGAGAGCAGCATGCTGCATGTTTTAATACCATCTTCTATCTGTATGCTGCATCCCGCGGAACGTCGCTGAAGGCTGGAGTCTGTTTTAGCAGATAGTAGAATATGAGGTCTGATATATTACTTTCAAAATCCTGCTTGGTGGCACAACATAAATGTATACAAATCAGCACTAACTCTGTTGTTTTGTTTATTTGGACATGAATAGGGATGGGTATCAAATGTGATACTATTTAAGGCACCGACTGAATTCCGTAGTACCAACCGAGGACCGATTCATGCGCAGTCAAAAAAATTTAAAAAAAAGGGTACGGAAAGAGTACATTGTTGTACCCCAAGGGACAAAAATGACATTAACTCAGTCTAAGGACTAATATTGGACCTCAGGGTATCTATCTGTACTTTTTCCGTTATCTGAAAGGTACATTTATGTTTCTTAGTAGTAAAAGGTACACATTTGTACCAATTCTTTCAAAAGGTACCATTTCTGGTTATGATATCATTCACTAAAGAAAACAAACTTTAGCAAAGCTATACTTCTCAAAATAGATTTCATAGTTTCACTATTCACCATTTTGCAAGCACTGAAAGATAGTTGTAAAATTATTTGTTGGATTTAAAAAAAATTACAATAAATTTAAAAAATGTGTTAACTCTCCCTCTGCATGTTCTCCTTTTTTGTACTTTAAATTACAAGGGTACAAATTTGTACTCACAGTTGATGGTACAAAATGGTACCTTTGAGGCTACCACCGCAGTGACAAGACAATGTACTCCTAAAGGTACAATTCTGTACTTTAATGTCTGAGAGTGTGTGAAATGCAACGGAGCCTTGTTTCGGTACCTGTCCTTCATTGACAACAACTTGTGAGACAGCGGTTTGCCAAGATTAACAGCAGCGCAGGAGCGTGATGTTGTCAGAGCTGCAAAAAGAGCAAGCAGCATGGTATACAGGAAGCTTCTAAGGTTTGGGTCCACTTCACTAAATGTGATGGGTGACTGGCTGATGATGACTACATCACCCACCATCTAAGTAAGGCATCATCGTCTAAATTTGCTCCTGCAGGTAAATTAACTGTTTAAGATAATGTTTGCTTGATATTTTAGCTTCCATTAACATCAGCTAATGGTGCGTTCGCTTTCTCCTCGGAACTCAGAAATTCCAACTTCCAAATCAACTGTTTGAAATTAAACGGCTAAAGGAATAAACATACACAGTAAATTTAGTTCACAGCAAAGATGTTTGCTTCAGTTTTATTAATACTACAAGGACCCATCACACAATTTGTCCAGAGGGGAAGTACATGGAGCTGGGATTTAGCTTGTGAAACTCCACAATATTAAAATACAAACAGTTGTATGGTAATTAAGTTTGTTGTAGTTTCATTTCTAGTTTATCATACATGGTCTCCTCATCATAGTTTCATAGTTATTCCAGAGGGCATAGATGAGGGATAGGGCACATGGAGATGAGTTTTACTTTTTGCATCATTTAGAAACAGTTGTGGTTAAAGGTTTTCATGTTGAGGAATTTTATACAACACTACAATGATAAAATGCAAACAGCTGTATGTTATTTATCGTGATATTTATCAAACTTGGTTATATATTTAACTAAAAAAGAGATTTAATGAATTATTAAACACTCAAAAGTACAATTGGTGCTGCAGGTATTACACTGAGTTGTGTCTTCGGAGAAGAGTTCCAACTTTAAAGAAGAAAATGGAAATTTAGTTTAAGGTGCATCTTAAAATTGCCATAATTATTCAACAATTATTATTTAAATAATTCAATCATCATAACGGTTGCATTGGAAATTGATGCCTCTGAAGTTGACAATTGTTATTATTCCAACATTAAAATGAATTTTAGAGACATTTGTCCTTTGTGTTGTGTGTGTGTGTGTGTGTGTGTGGGGTGGGGGGGTGCTGGTCAGCTCATAGTAAGGAGGCCTTTGTACTGAATCTCTATTGACTTGGACCTTCTGTGTGCTTTTGTCCATGTGTGGGTTTTCTCCAGATTCGCTGGTTTCCACCCACAGGCCAGCATGCATGCCAGGCTAATTGTCAATACTGAATAGATTTTAGATGCATCTAAGAACACATGTGTGATGAACGCCTTTACACGACCTGCTCCTATTTGGGCACAAGTGTTAAACTGGGTAGGATTAAAATTATAAACTAAAATATTGCTTTTCTTTCCAATGCTGAAGTTTGTCATTTAACAACTATTTGTTAAGACCAGGAATCATAATGGACTTTCCAACTTTTCTGCAGTTTTGTGCTTAAAAATTACAGAGGCAGGCTTTTACTCATAATAAAGCAAACTTAAGTTTTTGTAGCATTCAAAATAT